TCTAAACCTAGACACACATAATAGTTTGATTACAAGGTTAAAAGTCATGCTTGTTATTGCAAAGTTGTAGTATGAATACAAGGTTAAAAATGTTCCAAGCCTAAAGACAAACTTCATGGTCTCAATTAAAATACACAAATAAATACAAACATGCTTGCAAATTCTAAAAATCTATTAAAAGAATCAAGAGAGATCAGAGTGAGAACATTAAATTAAACTAGAAATATGCTTAAAATATACACTAACAACATGACATTTCATTTGAATACATTAGCTTTCTATTTTCTTCTGTTATTGTGCTGTGGTATAACAGCATTGTCATGGCAGAAAACTATTTGAGACAAGTGGGAAGAAGAAAGGTTGGTTCTCTTAGAAGTCTCGGTGTTGGACCCAACAGAGGCTACCCTTTCAGAAGCAGTTTCAGTAGCGGCTATGCCAAGATATTGTTTTGCCACTAAAGATAAATTTGGGAAAACACTCTGGTTACTCCTCCACCACACAAGAGGATCTTCATCTGCTTCAAGTGTTGGAAGTGAAAGGTATGACTCAACTTCATCTTTAATCTTTTTCTTGAGTGTTGCAGTTGAATTAATAGTTGAGCCACGGTTGTTGTTAATTTTTTGTAAAAACTTCCATCTTCCTTTTTTAGCTGGCGGCTCTTCTGACTCATCTCGACTACTGTCAGTTGAGGATACCAAACCTTTCCTCACTCTGGAATAATATTTTTCTTCTGCTTTCTCCTCTAAAATTTCTCTGGCTGTTGACGCCCAGTTGTCAGATTGCAAAATATCCTTGTATCTTGGATCGACGAGCATAGCAGTCTTGCAGGTCAGGTTTGTTTTGTAATGTAAGAATCTAGCTTGAATATGAGCCAATAATTTTCTTGCAAACTGTATTCCTGATCCTCTGGGTGCTTTTCTTATAAAATCTTCTAATTCACTTTCAATTTCGAATATAACAGGTAAAATCATTGAGGCAGTGGGCCCTGTTTCACTCCCCATCTCAGCTGTATGATTGGCAACTGGGCGCAACACCTCTACGAAGCCCTCTGCCAGCTTCCACTCCACAGCACTTAGATTTTCTTCCCCTGCAGCTGATAGTTCACTGACAATAGCAGCCTTCTGCTCCACAGCCCTCTCAAGCATGCGAAAGTCAGAATCCCAACGTGTTTTTACTCGTTGGATCAGTTCATGTTTTGGTAGGCCATGCTCTTTTTGAAATTGTTCGTATAGTTCCACAGCATTTTTACTTTTAGAATATCTCCTCACAATATGTGATACTTTTTCTATAACATTGTTAATTCCTAATTCTTTCTTCGCATCATTAATGGCAAGTTGAGCTGTGTGGTTAAAGCATCTTCCATGTTCCCAATCTTTTTCATTCCTTAAAACTTCCGCAATTTCCTCATCTATTCGCCTTCCCTCTGTAGGCTCCCCCAATGCCGCAAGGAAATTAGAGCCATTGTCTGAAATTATATATTTTGCAATTTCCTCACTTTCCAACTGAAGGCTTCTAATCATTTCTTGCATACGATTATAAATAGCTTCACCATTGTGGCACCCTGGAAATGGCTGACACTCCAATGTAAATCTCTCCATTTCAAATTGATTGTTGATAAACTGCATGGTAAATGCAAGGAATGATTTTAATTTTCGAGAGGTCCACACATCAGTGGTGAAACATACTGATTCAAGATCATCCCGTACTGCATCTAGTTTCTCCTGAAGTCTTTTCTTTAAATCATTATAAATTGAAGGAATAACAGTACGGGAGAATGCAAACCGAGATGGAACAAGGTACCTTGGCTCTAGCAGATGCATTAGGTTAGTGAATCCTTCTTCCTCAACAACGGAATAAGGTTGCAGACTCTTACAAATAAATAATCCAATTGCATTTGTGATATTTTGAGATTTCTGTCCTCTGGGGTCCAAAGGAAATAAACAACTCTTAACGGATGGTGCATTGTTACTTTTATCTGACTTTTTGGAAGCAGAGATCTTTTTTTGGGCCACTTTATACTTCTGGAGTTTTATATATTCTCCATTACTACTTGGATGCAGAAGTAAATGACGAATTAGGAGAGTGGTTGCACCAGTTGGTGTATTCAAAATTTTCTCACAAAATTTGCACTTGCCATGGTTCTTGTCTATCTTTATAAAATAATGCCATATGAGGGCATGGGGCACAGATACCTTTTCCTGTTCCTCCTGGCTGAGTGTGGTGGTGATGGTGGTGGTGCTTGACACAGATCCTTCATGGTCTTGAGCATGTTGATTTTCTGAAGCGACAGCAGGGGTCACCGGAATGTCTGAAGCTGGCGCAGACTCGCGATGACGCCCACCGCTCTGGAAGTAGGATGCCAGAGTTTTCTGCTGCTGTCCTATGCTGCCTGACGGTCGCCGTGGTGTGCTTGGCTGCCCAGGGTCATCCTCTCGAAACTCTTCATTTTCAAGCATCGTTGAGAATAGAGTCTGTAATTTTTAAAAACCATTAATTTTCAATGTATGAAATGTTTTATTAATAAAGGCACATCGAAAACGGAAATCATTTGACTTACTTAATGTGCCAGGGCGATGAGAAGCGATGACACGAAACCACACGGACACCAGGAGCTCGACCAGGAGTACAACAACACGACAGGGCCACGTGTGTTTTGACAATGACAGCTCATCAGCTGATCAGGCCACCTGTCACCTGATCAGCTGAGAGAGAGGCGGGAAAGGGAGGGTGCGGTGGGGGAGGGAAGATCCAACAGCAGGTCAGCGCTCGACCAATCAGAGAGCAGCATTTTCCGCGCGCGCTTCTCACGGTCATTTCGAAAATTTAGAGAGAAATTGACCAGGTCGGATTTGTTCGGCGACGAAAATTTGTTTGACCAGTCCACGAACATTTCGGATCCGAACACCTTGCGTTCGTGTTCGAACGAACACGAACAGTTCGCTGTTCGTTCGAGTTCGTTCGACTGCGAACATGTTCGCTCATCTCTA